ATTATATAATGACCATCTTTGTCTTTCATTACTTTTGTTGATTTGAAGACTAAGTTATCTGAAATGAGAACTGCTACACCAGCTTTCTTTTGGTTTCCATTTTCATGGAATATTGTTTTCCATTCCTTTGCCTTGAGTCTGAATGAATGCTTGTGGGTTAGATGTGTTTCCTGGAGACAGCAGATACTTGGCTTGTGTATCTTTATCCATTCAGCCAGCCTATGTCTCTTCGGTGGGCAGTTCAAGCCATTCACATTTATTGAACGAATTGATAAGTGGGGTGGATTTCTGTTCATCCTGTTGAGTAGAACTTTGTTACTTTGTTTTCTCTCTTGAGCCATTGTGGTCTTTGACCTTTAGCTTTTGGATGATTTTACACTGGTGAGTGTGTATTGGGCTGATCTGTGTGTAACTATGTTCTGAGTACTCCCTGGAGGGCAGGTCATATCTTGATGAATTCCCTCAGTGTTTGTTTGTCTGAGAAGGTCTTTATTTCTCCTTCACATAATAAACTTTGTTTTGCCGGATTGAAACTTCTAGGCTGGGCATTATTCTGTTTGAGAAGACTTGAGAATGGGGCCCCAGTGCCGTCTGGCTTGTAGGGTCTCAGCTGAGAAGTCTGCAGTTAATGTGATGGGTTTTCCTTTGTAGGTTACCTGCTGCTTTCGCTTTATGGCTTGTAGGAGGGACTTTTTTGTGTTTATTTTGTTCGGTCTGATGACTACGTGTCATGGTGTCTTCCTCTTTTCAATGAATCTCCCAGGAGTCCTTTGAGCTTCTTATACCTGGATAGCTAGATTTCTAGCAAGACCAGGGAAATTTTCTCCATTATTCCCTCAACCCTTGTGTATTTTCTTCTTCACCTCAGGGATGCCTATGATTCTTATGTTAGGCCTCTTCACATAATCCCATATTTCTTATAGGGAAATATGGGATTGTTCCTCTTATTTCTCTGCTCTATCTCTGCGACTTGACTTGTTTAATCGAAAGGTGTTGTCTTCAGTCTCTGAGATTGTTTCTTCTGCCTGATCTAACCTGTTCTTAAGGCTTTCCACTATATTTTGTAATTCTTTGAGTGAATTTTTCATTTCCAGAAGTTGTGTTCGATTTTTCTTTAATATTTCAATTTCTTTAGTTAATTTTTCGTTCATTTCCTGCATTCTTTTTGTGATCTTTGTGTTGGATATCCGTTTTATCTTGCCTTTCATTGAGTTTTCTTACAATCCATGTTTGAAATTCTTCATCTGTCATTTCAGTGTTTTGATTTTGGTTGGTATCCATTGCTAGAGATCTGGTGTTCCCTTGTGGGGATGTCCTTTCAGTTTGATTCTTTATACTTCCAGAGTTCTTTCACTGACTTCTTCTCATCTGGAGCAGCTGTTGCTTCTTACCTTTGGATTTTCTTTTGTTGAGATAATGACACACCCAGTTTACTCTCTGAGCCTGTAGTAGGTGGCCCTTGTAGGTGAGATTCAACCACACCCTGTGTGATGAGTCAGTAAATGCAGTAAAAGGACTACAGATTGACTTCTCTGTCAGTAGGTGGCACTTGCTGGGAGGAGCGAGCTGCAGTGTTGTTTTTGGTCCTGTAACCAGCTCTTGTTCCTGTGGAGAGGTACTCTAGTGCTTCACGTGGTGGGTGGGGCCCTGGGTCTTCCAGGTGTGTCCTTATTCTCCACCTCAGTGGTGGAGTGTGGTGGAGCTGGGGAGTGAGGCTAGGTAAGGCTGGGTTGGGTGAGCCTGTGCTCAAGCTCCAGAAATCATGTTAGCAGGGGTCAAAGGTCTGTTCTCTGCTTCTGGGCAGAACTGCCAGGGAGGGGCTGAAATGGCCCCACTCAGCCAGAAAGTCTGCGTGTGGGGGTGGGTCTGTCTGAGATCCGCAATTTGGCAGCCTGGAGCAGGCCTCGCTCCTTTCCACCCTCCCCTATTCCACAGTTTCTCCCAGGCCTCTGCCAGGCGGCAGGATGTCAGGCCAGCTGAGCTCCCCCACAACTGTGACCCTGGCCAGGAGGTTCCCTGCCCATGATCCTGGCCTAAGCTGGGAGCATGGCCCTCCCGTGGGAGGAGGGGTGCCCCACCAGCGCACTGCAGCTAGGACCCCCACACACTGCACCCCATGCCCCCCAGTACTGCATCTAGTTAGTGCTGCACATCCTAGAAGGAACGGGAAAGTATGCACGAGGCAGCAGGGGAGGTCCCGGGAGTGCACGTCAAGACCAGCGACTGGTGTAAATATTGAGGGTGAGATCACTCAGCCAGGTGGCAGAGTTGTATTCTTAGCCCAGAAATTACTTTTTTGAAGATAATGTTAAGCCTCATCAAAATTCTTTCCAGGAATGTTTATTGATTTTTAAATGCAACCCCAACTCCTAGTTCTGCCTTTAACCTAGTAGAGAAGTCTTGTGAACACAAATAGGATATGTTACTTTCAGGTCTAATTCTGACTATTACTAGTCTGAGGGCTGAGCTCATCGAAGAGGGTCTAGTAGACGTGAACCCTCACATTGGTCTTGCCACAGAAAGCCTAGAAGAACGTGATTACTGAAAAGCCTCAACAGTGACCGGACTTATCGCAGTTATAAGGGTTTGTGGGGCCTTGGCCTTTCTCACCTGCCCGACTCCATGGCCACGCGGGCCAGGCCTGGCTCTGCAGTGGGGCAGGGTGGAGCCTGTGCAAAGGGCCTCAGATGACTTGAAGGGCGGCAGGGCTCTGCTCGCACCGCCTGGATGTGGGCGCTGGTTCCCGAGCTCTACCCTACCCTGGGGACACAGTTGAGCAGCTGCTCTTAAAAAGTTATTGCCACCAGCCAAGTGCAGGGGCTCACACCTGTAATCCTAGCACTCTGGGAGGCCGAGGTGGGACGATTGCTTGAGCTCAGGAGTTCGAGACCAGCCTGAGCAACAGCGAGACCCTGTCTCTACTAAAAATAGAAAGAAATTGGCCGAACAACTAAAAATAGAAAAAATTATGTGGGCATGGTGGTGCATGCCTATAGTTCCAGCTACTCGGGAGGCTGAGGCAGGAGGATTGCTTGAGCCCAGGAGTTCGAGACCAGCCTGAGCAAGAGCCAGACCCCATTTCTACGAAAAATAGGAAAAAAATTAGCTGGGCATGGTGGCACATGCCTATAGTCCCAGCTACCCGGGAGGCTGAGGCAGGAGGATCCCTTGAGCCCAGGAGTTTGAGGTTGCTGTGAGCTAGGCTGACGCCACGGCACTCTAGCCCGGGCAAGAGAGTGAAAAAAAAAAAAAGTTATTGCCACCGATCAGGCTTTCTTACTGATCACGCTTTCATAGGTTGCAGATGCCATGCTGGGAAATCAGATGTTCACTCACTACGATCGGGCCCACATCGCCCAGCTGTGTGAGAAGGCAGGCCTGCTGCAGCAGGCGCTGGAGCACTACACTGACCTCTATGACATCAAGAGGACCCTTGTGCACGCACACCTCCTCAATCCCGAGGTACGTGCACCACCAGGGCACTCCCATTGTGGCTGGTGTCTGTGCAGTGGTTAGCGCCACGTGCTCCCGAGTGTCTGCCTGTGGTTACTGTGAGACCGAGGCATGAGCCTGTCACTGCCCTGACCTGCCTACATCACAGCAAAGCAGTTCTGGGGCAGACACACACGTTTGCCTGCCCGCGGTGTGTCTGGGGCCCATGTCACCTTTCTTTCCAGTGTCTGCCTTTGACTTGATCCAGTGGCAGAGTAGAGATAACCTTTTAACACTGACAGCCTAGCAGGGCTGTCTGAAACCATTAGCAAAAGCTGAAAGTAGTGGTGGTGGTCCAGTTTGCAGAATAGTTTGGTACCGACTGGGGAGTGTTCTGGGATGGACAGTTTAGGTCAGCGTCTCATCCCAAGTTTACTCCTTGCTCCTACTTTTTCCCATGATGGATAGTTGCTTTTCAGTCCTTTTAAGTGGAAATTCTTTTTATTTTTGACCCTTGGGGGAAGAGGGGGACAATCCAGTTATTTTCCAAGTGTTGTCAATATTTAAGGTGGTGCACAGCTGTGGACGGACTCTTTTTTATTCCCAGTGGCTTGTCAGTTTCTTTGGCTCCTTGTCGGTGGAGGATTCTGTGGAGTGTCTGCGTGCCATGCTGTCTGCTAACATCAGACAGAATCTGCAGCTGTGTATGCAGGTGGCCTCTAAGTACCACGAGCAGCTGGGCACGCAGTCCCTGGTGCAGCTCTTTGAATCCTTTAGGAGTTACGAAGGTAAACCCTGCTGCCTCTGGCCGACCTCACCACGCATCTGCACCTCCTTTCTGAGGGGTTGCAGTCTGCTTGCGCAGCTTAAAACAGTCTTCCCGCAAAACCAGACAGGATGCAGCACTCGCTGCCTTAGGTGCTCAGTAGATAGCAGAATATTACTGCTATCTCATGTGTATTACTCAGCTTCAGTAACCTTTTTGGCGCTTCCAAAGGAAGAAATCAGGTGGGTTGGCATTGGATTGGGGAAACTAGAATCTCCTTTGTATCCCTGAAGACCGTGGAACCCTGTGTGTCTGTGCAGCACAGTCTGGCCAGAATCCATCTCAAATCCTGTGCTAAAGGTCCTGGGTACCAGTGACAAGGCCTGGTGTCTGGTCTGCGCAGCCCTAAGAAGGCAGCTCCTTTGTCTTCTCCTAAGTGAGAGCCCACCATGGAGAGTCCATTGCTTTGTGGTGTCTCTTACCCAGTTGATTACTGGGGCTGATGAGGCTGACCTGGTTGCCTTCCTTTGCCTTTCTGTGGGTATCACACCAAAAAAGTGTGCCACAGTGGGGGTGGAGGTGGCTTTTTTGGGGACAAGTAAGGGGCTGTCTGGCCTGCCCAGGACGGAGGTTGAGCACATGTCCAGTGGGGCATCCACCCACTGTGTGGTGTCCAGGGAGCTGGCCTTCTCTTCCGGGGACACCACTGCAGCAAAGGCCCAAGCAGAAGGCTGGGTATGGCAGGGAAGGGAGTGGCAGCAGAGTAGGGTCGCTGAGAACCGTCAGCTTCGGGGCTGCCCATTCCCTTCCTGTTGGCAGTCTCTCGGTTACAGTTAAAGGCCTTATCAGGGAGCGTGGCCTTCCGTGTCCTATGCTGTTGTTGTCACTGATATCTCCAGGCTGGCCCCTGTAATGATGAGCAACGTCATTAGCCTCTGTTGAACGATGTCCTCTGTGACTTGCCTCAGGGCTCAGATGTGGTGGCCACGTCACTGTCAGTTCCAGGTCAGGTCGCAGCCTCCTCGTGCGGAGGCTCCTGTTGCAGCCATTGTTTATTTTCTCTGTCCCTGACATGTCTTTTGAGAGCAGCTGTCCCACGTCCCTCTCAGGTTACCTCAGTGGGAATTGCTCTTAAAGATACATCTGAGGTGTACCTGGGCCCCAGAAGGAGTTCCACATACACCAAATAACCAATAGTTTACATCAAAATATCCCAGGTATACCTCCCAAAATGGTAGAAATCTGACTAGCTATTTTCGGGAGATGTCAAAGTAGACAAACTTCATGTAGATTGTGAGTTCTGAGTGGGCCGTGGGTACCTGGAGAACGGAGCAGGGTTGTCATGGCTAGGTCACCACAGGAAGGCTGCAGCAGCTATGGAGAATGCAGGTGGGTGTTATGAGGACAGAAATGGAGCAGTCTGTCCGCACAGGCCTCTTCTACTTCCTGGGCTCAATCGTCAACTTCAGCCAAGATCCAGACGTGCATTTGAAATACATCCAGGCCGCTTGTAAGACGGGGCAGATCAAGGAGGTGGAACAGATATGGCGAGAGAGCAGCTGCTATGACCCGGAGCACGTGAAGAACTTCCTGAAGGTGCCTCCAGCTCCTCCTCCTCCCGTGAGCTGCCCTCACTGATGGCAGGTGGGCAGACCCTCAGCATGACTTCCTAAGGCAGAACGCTGCATCTGTCTCGCCAGGGCACCCTTAGTCCCCAGCAGCAGGTCGCCACTTGATGGTTTAAAGTTCTTAGAGGAACCTATCTATCATTGTGAGACCCCTTTGTGGAAAGAAGCTTGAGCCTGTGCTCTTAACTATCTGGCGTGTGAGTGGAAGGAGTTAGGTTATCGCTGCACTGTGATTGGCAACATCTCGACTGTGCCCCTGTCGGTGAGGTGGGGCGAGGCTGCAGAAACACATGGGCCACTCAGTGCTAGTGGCATGAAGGACAGGAAGCCTGCCTCTTTCTCATGTGACAGTGCTGGGTGGCCATGGACGTAAGTGGGGTGGCTTTCTTTCCTGCCATCCTCCAAGGACCAGGCTGATGGCTGCTTCGCTATCTTTAATACATCCCGGAATGTTGCCTTCCCAGCCAGTGGGAAGAGGGAGGAACGCAGAGGAACCTGCATGGGTGATTGTTACGGGTGAGGCCTGCAAGTGGCAGATGACATTGCGATTCACATTCCCTTGGAGGAAACGAGGTCATGTGGTCACACCTAAAACTTCAAGGGAATCTGGGAAATGTAAACTAGGGCTGGGTCCAAATAAGGGGATGTGTGATTGTGGTGGCCCGTGGCAGTCCTGCCCAAGTGCTGTCACTGTCGAAAACAGTGCACAGTGTGTTTCCGTGGTCTGTGGCTGCTTGTCTGAAAAGGCCACCTTTATCATAGGTGTGCTGTTCCGGAGAGCTGCCTGGCCTGTGTTGGGTTTACAAATAATGAGCTGCTTGTCTTATCCCAAAAGATACCTAGATTTAGGATGTTATTGCCAAATGTAACATTCTTTAACCAAATAATATTACCTTTCCCCCACTTGTTTCCCAAAGCAAACACGACATCCCAAAATGACAGAATATCTAGAACAAAGTCTCACTCTGAGTCTCTGTGGTTCTCTTTGCTGCAGAGGCAGCTCCATCCTGTGCTGGGTTGTGAGCCCTGGGGTCTGGCTCTGGCATCTCCACTCCTGACTTGTTCTGTGCATTCTGAACCTCAGGAGGCCAAGCTCACAGACCAGCTTCCCCTCATCATCGTGTGTGATCGGTTTGATTTTGTCCACGACCTCATCTTGTATTTGTACCGCAACAGTCTGCAGAAGTACATCGAGATTTACGTGCAGAAGGTACTGCTGGCTCCTGGGTGATGTAGTCAGTGGTGATAGTCTGCACCTGATGAGCTGCCTCTGACGCCAGGACATCTGTAGACTGTCGGTCTGAAGGGTGGTGTATCAGTCTGCTTAGGCTGCAGAATAGAATACCACAGACTGGTGGCTTAATTAATAGAAATTTATTTCTCACCTTTCTGGAGCTGGAAGTCCAAGATCAGGGTGCTAGCAGGGTTGGTTCCTGGTGAGGTCTTTCTTCCAGGATTGCAGACGGCCTCCCCTCTGTGTTCCCGCGTGGCTTTTCCTCTGTGCATATGCACTCTGGGTGTCTCTTCCTCTTCTTACGAGGATGCCAGTCCTATTGGATTAGGGCCCCTTGCTCAACATCAACTACCTCCTTAAATGCCCTCTCTCCAAATAGAGTCCCCTTGGGAGTTAGAGCTTCAACAGGAATTTTGGTAGGACACAGTTCAGTCCTAAACAGGAGCCCTTTCAGGGTTTTACTCACACTGTTCAAATCCTCGGGGGCTTCTAGTAATGGCTTATATGTGCAGCACTGAAGTCGCCACCTTGACTACTCCAGGTCAACCCTAGCCAGACCCCAGCTGTGGTTGGAGGGCTGCTTGACATGGATTGTTCTGAGGAAGTGATTAAAAACTTAATCATGGCAGTGAGAGGACAGTTCTCTACTGATGAGCTGGTGGCTGAAGTAGAAAAAAAAAAATAGGTATGGTATCCTTACTGGGTATCTCTTCTTGCCCCTGAATTCCAGTGTCTGTTGTTAAGTCTCTGACTAATTCTCCAAGATGCTTTCATGGTTGGTGTCTAGGCTGCAGGACTGTCTCTGTGGCTGGTCATTCATGTACATCTTAGATCTAATAATGAGTTATTTGCTCTTGGTACTGAAGTCCTTGGGGAAAAACTTAACAATTGAAATCAATTTGGAAACCAGGTCTACCCTGATCTCTAGAGCAACCTGAAGTTAATGGAGAAATTTTGTTTCAAGAAACAACCCTCAGAGCCCAGGGGTTGCCCTGGAGATTT